CACTACAAAACACACACACAGACACACACACCTCCTGGTCTCACTACAACACACACACACAGACACACACACCTCCTGGTCTCACTACAACACACACACACATACACACCTCCTGGTCTCACTACAAAACACACACACAGACACACACACCTCCTGGTCTCACTACAACACACACACACACACACACCTCCTGGTCTCACTACAACACACACACACCCACACACACACACACCTCCTGGACTCACTACAACACACACACACACACACACACCAGTTTTTTTAGGATTCAGAAAAAAATGTGTTTATTGTGTATGTAATATTTATATGAGTTAAAAATGAAGAGATTTTTCATTCTGAGATGATTTCAGAACATTGCATGTGAGGTCAGGTTGCAAGTGTACAGTCTGACAGCTCCTCAACAAAGCACAAAGTCTGGCACCACTGCAAATCTACCAAGACACAGCCTCAGTCCTGGGTCTACAGCCTCAGTCCTGGGTCTACAGCCTCAGTCCTGGGTCTACAGCCTCAGTCCTGGATCTACAGCCTCAGTCCTGGATCTACAGCCTCAGTCCTGGATCTACAGTCTCAGTCCTGGGTCTACAGCCTCAGTCCTGGGTCTACAGCCTCAGTCCTGGGTCTACAGCCTCAGGCCTGGGTCTACAGCCTCAGTCCTGGGTCTACAGCCTCAGGCCTGGGTCTACAGCCTCAGGCCTGGGTCTACAGCCTCAGTCCTGGGTCTACAGCCTCAGTCCTGGGTCTACAGCCTCAGGCCTGGGTCTACAGCCTCAGTCCTGGATCTACAGCCTCAGTCCTGGGTCTACAGCCTCAGTCCTGGGTCTACAGCCTCAGTCCTGGGTCTACAGCCTGCAATATGGGCCTCCCTAAAGTTTCCTACTATTATTATTATTATTATTATTTTTGAGTCGTTCTTTACCGATGCAGGAGGGTCTAAGGACACAGAATTGAATGTCTTTCTCACAAACAGAAACAGAAAGTAAAGCGTGTGTTTGTAGCGGTGATAAAGTGTGTAGAAGTTGACGGGGTATGAATACTTTCGCAGGCCTCTGGAGCGATCTTTTGTACTTTTCCTGCATATCTTATGATAATATTTAAGAATCCACGCAGGCTTTTCCCTTCGCTGCCCTTCCCAAATTAGCGGCTCTATTGACCGATTCATCCATCACCATCACTGTAAGCTGTCAGGGCGCCGCCATCACGCCGCCATCACGGTGAGGGATGGACTCTCGCACACACAGACGTTCATAAAGGACTCATACCTATACAGAAGAGAGAGAGAGAGAGAGAGAGAGAGAGAGAGAGAGAGAGAGCAACGGAATACAAATGACAACCTCAGCTTTCCTGCCAGGGCCTGGGAGAGAGAGAGAGAGAGAGAGACCAGATAGAGACCAATTAGAAAGAGGGAGAGAAAAAGAGATACCAGAAAGAGAGGGGGAGACAGAGGGGCCTATGGGAGAATCTTAATCATGGCAAGCCGAGAGATAGACCAGAGAGAGACCAGAGAGAGAGACCAGAGAGAGAGACCAGAGAGAGACCAGAGAGAGACCAGAGAGAGAGACCAGAGAGAGAGACCAGAGAGAGACCAGAGAGAGAGACCAGAGAGAGAGACCAGAGTCCTGATGTTTAGTCCTGACTGTGCAGAATCCAGACCTTAGTACGTACTTAAATGAGTACTATATGGTTTGGAAAGACCAGGCTAGGTTGGAAAGTTAGGTTTCCCAGAACAAGTTCAGACTCGGTCCAGACTCAGTCCAGAGTCCGGACCTTATCGGGCTAACTTTCATAAAACATAAAGTAAGTTAAAATAGCTACAATGGAATCTCACAGTGAAAAAAATGTGAGAATGAGTCAGAAACGAACAAAAACAGACAAATCAAGCTATGACGACCTCACGTGAACATAAACCCGGTAATTACACTTTTCCAAAACCAAAAGCCGTCAAATTGACTGCTGTGGGCGTCGTCATGTTCAGGGTGGACTTGGTTCTGGTCGGGTAGAACAGGGCGTGGCTGTGTCTGCTTTCTCTGTTCAAAGTTCTGCAGCTGCTGAAGGAAAAATGGAAGCTTGTCGTATGAACCGGTCATGACACTCTCTCGGTGAACAGCCTCCTCCCCCTCTCTCCCCCCTCTCTCTCCCCTCCTCCCCCTCTCCCCCCCCCTCTCTCTCCCCTCCTCCCCCTCTCTCTCCCCCCTCCTCACCCCTCTCCCCCGTCACTCTGCCTCTCACCCGGAGGTGTGATGCTGACACTTACAAACCAGCAGCTGCTCAAACCTCTGCTCCCGAACGCCGGTGTTTTCCACAAACACGACGGAAGCAGACACACAATCTGGCTCCAGCTCGTCCTATGTTGGTTTTTTAATTTGAAACACGTCCAAATGTCATCAACAATAACAGAGAACGACAAAAAAAAAAGGGTCGGCAACTAAAGCAATATGCAATGGAGCAAAAAGTATTTCGAGAGAAGTCTGTACTTTCTATCATAGGTTTACCTCAACTATGAGAGAGACAAAATAAGTATCTAGTCACCAACAAACAAGCAGGAGTTCAGGCTCTCTCAGACCTGTAACTTCTGTTCATATCTGCAGGAGGAATGGGCCAAAATTCCAACAACAGTGTGTGAAAACTGTCGAGAGATGAAGACAGAGGCAGCAGCGAGCACGTCTGTAACACGGTTTATTTTAGAGTCCTTCCATACATCGGACACATGATGACAATGCAAACGAGAGAGACCAGAGAGACCAGACGGAGAGACCAGAGAGAGAGACAGACCAGAGAGGGAGACCAGAAAGAGACCAGAAGGAGAGACAGACCAGAGAGAGAAACCAGAGAGAGAGGCACGAGAGAGGGGGGCCAAAGAGAGAGACCAGAGGGAAAGAGAGAGACTAGAGAGATAGAAAGACCAGAGAGAGAGAGACCAGAGACAGAGAGAGACAGACAGAGACCAGAAGGAGGGACCAGAGGGTGAGACAGACCAGAGAGAAACCAGAGAGAGAGATACCAGAGAGAGAAACCAGAGAGAGAGAGACCAGAGAGAGAAACCAGAGAGAGAGAGACCAGAGAGCGATATGTCCAGATCTTCAGATATGTTTAATACAGAATCCCCAAAATGACCAACAAAGGATAAATAACAAGTGTTGCGATGGACTTTAGTTATTGACTCAATACTTTGACTCAAACACATTTCCTGGATTTGAATTGTTGGCGACTGTGTATTTAACTCCAGCAGCGACAGAGGTTTCAGAGGTGGACCCCAAAGACTCAAAAAGTGACTCAAAAAGATGCATGTTCTGGTCTGAGTGCTCCAGATACATTTGACTTCTACTCTTTCTGCACGGCACGGTGGCAGAGTAGTTAGCACTCTTCAGCAAGAAGGTCCAGGGTTCGAGTCCTGATCGGAACAGGGTCTCTCTGAGTGGAGTTTGCATGTTCTCCCTGTGTCTGCGTATAGGTTGCCTCTACCGCTAACAAAACAAATGCAGAGGACAAATGGCCCTGTAGGGATAAGAACAGTCTACTTGAACCTTAACCTTAAACTTTCGGTACAAACGTATATATCTGTGATGGTCAGAACTCACATTTGCATATTCATGTCTCCTTTAAGAGGACAAAATAATTATACCCACAAAGTTGCCAAATATGCACTCTACAACCCAAAGCATTACAGTACTTCCTGGATACATAAAAAACCCGCTCTGGAGGACATTAGCTAATTGTGCCGAGCAAAGCTAATACTCTGCGCGGATATAAATAGACTTTATCTGAGGACAGGTACCCTTTAATGTGGCCGCGCTGACTCCGGAAAAGCAGAAGTGAGGCACCCCATCCTTCACCGGGAGAGAGAGCACCCCCCAAACCATCCCCCCACCTCCCCCCCTCCCTCCCCCGTCCCTGTGTAAGCACCCACTGTCCAGATAATGAAGTTTAATGGGAGCGAGCGCAGAGAGAGCGGAGGATTAGGGCAGCAACATTATCGCACCTGTCGACCAGCAGCGGCCAATAACAAGGTCCACGGGTGTGAGGCGCCGAAGGGAGGAATGTCGTCCTGGAGAAATGGCGTCCTGGAGAGATGGCGTCCGGGCACGAGTTTGAACAGAGCAGATTGTTTCTAGAGTGTGGTGGAAGTCAGCAGCGAATAACAAGGAATGATGAGAACATTTTACTCTGAAGCCGTCGAGAGGGACTGAAAAACCTCCACAGCTGTAATGTTCAATCATTAAAACCATTTTATTTATTTATTTTATTTATTTTATTTATTTTATTTATTTTATTTATTTTATTTATTTTATTTATTTTATTATTTTTTTTAATTTAATTTATTTAATTTTATTTATTTTATTTATTTTATTTATTTTATTTATTTTATTTATTTTATTTATTTTATTTATTTGGCTGGGACAGGGCAAGTTAAGTAACACACACCACTCCGGATTGTAGCGTTGGGCAAAATTTGCATCCATTGTCCCGCACTCAGGGACTGGCCTCCTGCTGGGACTCTGAGGAGCACAGGGACTGGCCTCCTGCTGGGACTCTGAGGAGCACAGGGACTGGCCTCCTGCTGGTCCCAGAGTCAGGACTAAACATGGAGAGTCAGCCTTTCAGATTCACGCTGCTAAAATCTGGAACAGTCTACCCGAAAATGTGAGACAGACTTCTTCTCTGACAATTTCAAATCCAGGTTAAAATCAGTTTTGTTTCTGCAATAACTGAAATATTTTATCTTCAATCTTTCAAATGTGCTGTAATTATTTATGATTTTAATCTTGTCTCTTTAAGCACCTTGAGTTGCTGTGTGTATGGACTGTGCTATACAAAAAACCTTACCTTTCCAACAGTATTATACAGTATGAAGAAATAACTAGACTTTCATCACAACAGAGACTTTTCCCCTTTTCAAAACAATCACAAACTTTAGGCCTGGACCCAAAACCCGACACACGTCTGAGGTGTTGTATGAGTACGACACAGCGACCCGTGAGTGGTTTTCAGGAGTTGCCGCTGGCGCCGCGGGTTCGGGGCCGCGCGCACCTGGATCGATACGCCTCCGACGCCGTCATAAATCTTGGCGGCGGCGGCGGCGTGAGCGGTCCCCTGGCCTGCCGCGCACCGTCAGCAGAGCGCCTTCCAGAAGAGCAACAACAATATGTTAGCGCGCGGAATTAATGAAAGGTGAGCGCACAATGGGGACCCCGCAGCCTGCGCGCATCTGCCAGGAGGGACGCGGAGGAAAACCACTGATGCTGCTGAGTCATCACTTTCTCTGCATCGAGACTGAAGAATAAGGTCGTGTTGGACGGCGTTAGAGAAAGTCTGTCCGGGTTCTTACTGCGAGTACTGGAGGCAGCTATAGCTTTCAAATCATCGGATATATCTGTGTGTTTCTGTGGACAGTGACTCGGCCCAAAGGGACAAATAGTGACTCACAGGGACCAAGAGGAGACCGAGTGCTGATGTCACATACTGTGTTTTTATTTTTACTCTTATTTTAAGCCAATACAAATCAAGACAAACAAACAAAAGTATGAGCATAATGACAAAACACAAAAGGGAAAAACAAAAACACACAATAATTACAAAAAATATGACAAACAAAGGGTTTTTCACACAAAAACTTAAAAAGTCAAAAAGGTACATTACTGCAGAGGCGTCTTCTCTGCTTCTGCATCGAGCTCAAGGGTAAATGTGTTTGGGCATCGTCTGGTCCTCCCGGTTCTTTGAAGTGAACGAGCTTTGTGCCAAATATGAGTGTGTGGCTCTCATGCACGTGCACAGAGGGGCTCGACCGCGTTCTGACCAATCAGAGGGCAGCGTTCTGACCAATCACAGCTGATCAGAGCGGCGTTAGAGCAGGAGACAATGGAGAGGGGTTTGTGGCAGTAAAGTGTGGCTTTATACAGGACCGAAAAGTTCAAGACAAGGGACATTAAAATCCTAACTTTATGAAAGCTGTAGGTTCTCTGTCAGGTACTCCAGCAGGTTCTCTGTCATGTTCTCTGTCAGCTTCTCTGTCAGGTACTCCAGCAGGTTCTCTGTCATGTTCTCTGTCAGCTTCTCTGTCAGGTACTCCAGCAGGTTCTCTGTCAGGTTCTCTGTCAGGTTCTCTGTCAGCTTCTCTGTCAGCTTCTCTGTCAGGTTCTCCGGCAGGTTCTCTGTCAGGTTCTCCGGTAAGTTCTCTGTCAGCTTCTCAGTCGGGTTCTCTGTCGGGTTCTCTGTCGGGTTGTCTGTCGGGTTCTCTGTCAGGTTCTCTGTCAGCTTCTCTGTCAAGTTCTTCGGCAGGTTCTCCGTCAGGTTCTCTGTCAGGTTCTCTGTCAGGTTCTCTGTCGGGTTCTCTGTCGGGTTGTCTGTCAGGTTCTCTGTCAGGTTCTCTGTCAGCTTCTCTGTCAGGTTCTCCGGCAGGTTCTCTGTCAGGTTCTCCGGTAAGTTCTCTGTCAGCTTCTCAGTCGGGTTCTCTGTCGGGTTGTCTGTCGGGTTCTCTGTCAGGTTCTCTGTCAGGTTCTCTGTCAGCTTCTCTGTCAAGTTCTCCGGCAGGTTCTCCGTCAGGTCCTCTGTCAGGTTCTCTGTCGGGTTCTCTGTCGGGTTGTCTGTCGGGTTCTCTGTCGGGTTCTCTGTCGGGTTGTCTGTCGGGTTCTCTGTCAGCTTCTCTGTCGGGTTCTCTGTCAGGTTCTCTGTCAGCTTCTCTGTCAAGTTCTCCGGCAGGTTCTCCGTCAGGTCCTCTGTCAGGTTCTCTGTCGGGTTCTCTGTCGGGTTGTCTGTCGGGTTCTCTGTCGGGTTCTCTGTCGGGTTGTCTGTCGGGTTCTCTGTCAGCTTCTCTGTCGGGTTCTCTGTCGGGTTCTCTGTCGGGTTCTCTGTCAGGTTCTCTGTCAGCTTCTCTGTCAGGTTCTTCGGCAGGTTCTCCGTCAGGTTCTCCGTCAGGTTCTCCGGCAAGTTCTCTGTCGGGTTCTCTGTCGGGTTCTCTGTCGGGTTCTCTGTCGGGTTCTCTGTCGGGTTCTCTGTCGGGTTCTCTGTCAGGTTCTCCGGCAGGTTCTCCGTCAGGTTCTCTGTCAGGTTCTCCGGCAGGTTCTCCGTCAGGTTCTCTGTCAGGTTCTCCGGCAAGTTCTCTGTCAGCTTCTCTGTCGGGTTCTCTGTCAGGTTCTCTGTCGGGTTCTCTGTCAGGTTGTCTGTCAGGTTGTCCGGCAGGTTCTCCAGCAGGTTCTCCAGCAGGTTCTCCGTCAGGTTCTCTGTCAGGTTCTCCGGCAAGTTCTCTGTCAGGTTCTCTGTCAGGTTCTCTGTCAGGTACTCCAGCAGGTTGTCTGTCAGGTTGTCCGGCAGGTTCTCCAGCAGGTTCTCCAGCAGGTTCTCCGTCAGGTTCTCTGTCAGGTTCTCCGGCAAGTTCTCTGTCAGGTTCTCTGTCAGGTTCTCTGTCAGGTACTCCAGCAGGTTCTCTGTCGGGTTCTCTGTCAGGTTCTCCGGCAAGTTCTCTGTCAGCTTCTCTGTCGGGTTCTCTGTCAGGTTCTCTGTCGGGTTCTCTGTCAGGTTGTCTGTCAGGTTGTCCGGCAGGTTCTCCAGCAGGTTCTCCAGCAGGTTCTCCGTCAGGTTCTCTGTCAGGTTCTCCGGCAAGTTCTCTGTCAGGTTCTCTGTCAGGTTCTCTGTCAGGTACTCCAGCAGGTTCTCTGTCGGGTTCTCTGTCAGGTTCTCTGTCGGGTTCTCTGTCAGGTTCTCTGTCAGCTGAGGTCGAGCTGTTTTAGTTTACATTGAGTTCTATGGGACTTCTTTCTGGGTACTGTGACTTTAGCCTGGTTCAGTCTGCAGTACCGTGAGAATCCCCCGAGCACTTGGGTCCTTCAGCTCCAAACTTTAATACTCCATCCAGTTATTAAAATAGATCCAGGTTCTGCATATCAAAAGTGAAAGTACTAGTGCCGGTCACATCCACTTGCACTGTGCCGGAAGCAGCTCTTAAAGGGACAGTAGCACGTATCCTTAGTCTACAAAACAAATGCAGACATAACACGTAAACTACAACTATGGTAGCTACTACTACTAAAACAAATAGACTATCTACATTCCTGCATTTTTTTTTTTTCAAATAACCATTTCGGAGACAAAAATCAACAATCTGAGTTGATTTTGGTTCATAATGTCAATAATTGTGCATTATGGTATAAGTGCAACATTTTCTCTCACAATAATCGTGACTCAAAAACATAAAATCGTGGCAACCCTAGTTTAGATCCATCCACGTACACACATGTAGCTCCGCCCCATCTCTAATCCGATGTAATGCATTTTGGGTTCACTTTTTCATATACTGTAAAAATACTGTCATTGTGTGCCTTTACCATGAGCTGTGGTGTCCTAGTGTCTGCAAGGCCTCCGCGTGTGTTACTATTTTACTGTCATTGTGTGTTTTTTTCTGTCTCGTGGATGGATTCTCACTACTTTCTGAACGTACAGGACTGAGTTGTTGAGAGCAGAGTGTGAGGAAGAAACTGATCCTCGTTCAGTATTCAGCGTCTGAAGCAGAACTGAGTCAAATCAGGATCACACACACATGTTCCAGCCTACGTCCACATATGCTTCATGATGCTAACACAGATGCTAACACAGATGCTAACACAGATGCTAAAACACAGATGCTAACACAGAGGCTAACACATGTAAGCAAACACATGGATGCGAACCAGTGGGGGAGGGTCCCAGCTCAAAAGTGGCCAAAATGACGTGCGCTGACATGCTGCAGTACCACCCCGGGCCGATGGGGGTGGACCCAGAAGAAGAATTAGCCAATACTAACATATAGCGTTAGCAGACCTCTCAAAAACCTCTTTACAGGATGGACCAAAAGTTTGTCTCTTGGCCCAAAGCTCCGTTCCACATGTGTGTCAATGCTGAGGGGGGTGTTCTGGACCACTCTAGTTTAGTTGCTGTGAATTTTTGAAGTCTCTTGTTCAAATGAATGGAGCTGCGCCGCTGACGCATGCACAGATGTGTTTTTTCACAATTTTCTTGTGGGCGGGACCCAAGCCCCGGCGATCCAAGATGGCGCCCTATTCAAATGAATGGTTGTGCTCAGTGGCGCTTTGTGACGGTTCTGCGCAGTGGATGATCTCCCATAATGCATTGCGTCAAACACGCGTGTGTGGGTCTCACACCGGGTCTCACGCACGTGCACAGAGGGGCTCGGCCGCGCTCTGACCAATCAGAGCAGTTCATCAGAGCGGGAGTTAGAGCGAGAGCCAGACGAGCAGAGTTTGATTTAAAGAAAACCGAAGGATTCAAGAAGAAAAAAAGTTCAGGATGACAAGGGACACTAAAATCCCCACAAAATCTGACCTTTATGAAAGCTGTGGGTTCTCTGTCAGCTGAGGTTGAGCTGTTTTAATATGCATTGAGTTCTATGGGGAAAATGTCTGGGTAGCCCAGGTGAATTTAGTCTGGTTCAGTCTGCAGTACCGCGAGAATCCCCCGAGCACATGAGTTATTCAGCTACAAGCTAGTAATGCCCTATCCAGTTATTATAATAGAACCATGGCGGGACCACTCGAGGCCATTTTGGATTGCTCCAGTAGAGCACATTTTTTGGCCCATTAGTTAGAACGGCGGAGATAGGCGTGACTCTGTCCGTTAATATATACAGTCTGTGATGCGAACACACAGAGGCTAACACACAGAGGCTAACACATGGATGCTAACACATGGATGCTAACACATGGATGCTTACACACAGAGGCTAACACATGGATGCTAACACATGGATGCTAACACATGGATGCTTACACGCAGAGGCTAACACATGGATGCTAACACATGGATGCTTACACGCAGAGGCTAACACATGGATGCTAACACATGGATGCTTACACGCAGAGGCTAACACACAGAGGCTAACACATGGATGCTTACACGCAGAGGCTAACACATGGATGCTAACACATGGATGCTAACACATGGATGCTTACACGCAGAGGCTAACACACAGAGGCTAACACATGGATGCTTACACGCAGAGGCTAACACATGGATGCTTACACGCAGAGGCTAACACATGGATGCTAACACATGGATGCTTACACACAGAGGCTAACACATGGATGCTAACACATGGATGCTAACACATGGATGCTAACACATGGATGCTTACACACGGAGGCTAACACATGGATGCTAACACATGGATGCTAACACATGGATGCTAACACATGGATGCTTACACACGGAGGCTAACACATGGAGGCTAACACATGGATGCTAACACATGGATGCTAACACATGGATGCTTACACGCAGAGGCTAACACATGGATGCTAACACATGGATGCTTACACGCAGAGGCTAACACATGAATGCTAATACACAGAGGCTAATACACATTGGCTAACACATAGATGCTAACACACGGATGCTATCACACAGAGGCTAAAACACAGATGCTACCACACAGATGCTAACACATGAAAAGTTTAAGAACATAATTTGACAAGGCCATTTTGAACCTAAGCTAGCTGGAGCAAATTTCCTTATATGGCCTTTGTTCCCTTGGCGTTACCTTTGCTAAGGCTTCGATAAGCTAGCTAATTAGCATTGTTCATCTCTATAGAGTCAATGGTTTTAAAATAGAGCTTTCAGACAGAAGGGGAGGGGGGACATGTTTGTGCTGGATGTGGGTGAAGCTAATGGAGCAAGTGAGGTCTGTTTTTGGATGAAAACAATTTTGCTAAAAGAATAATATTACATTTTGAAATCGAGAAGAAGAAGCAACATCGCAAAAGCCCAATCCAATCTGGAAATGTAGCTGTTGTTGCTGCTTCCTCACCTGCAAACTCTGCTTCCTCCTACTCGCTGTCACACTATCATTGTGTGTGTGTGCCTGTGTGTGTGTGCCTGTGTGTGCCTGTGTGTGTGTGTACGTGTGTGTGTGTGTGTGTGTGTGTGTGTGTGCCTGTGTGTGTGTTCGTGTGTGTGTGTGTGTGTGTGTGTGTGTGTGTGTGTGTGTGTGTGCCTGTGTGTGTGTACGTGTGTGTGTGCACTTGTTTTCAACTCCTGGTGGGTTCCATAACCTGAGATTCCACTCACGTCATGGGGACTGGTTTTACGTGGTGGGGCCCGAACACCGGACCCCACTGGTCCAAGCTTAATAATCAATGGGTAATGCTTTTCTAACGGTCCTTATGCAGTCTCTGTAAAAATATGGAAAGGACCCCTGGAGGTTTACTTTCCTGAAAAAAGTGTGTTATGTGTCGGAACCCTGGTGGTGGGTTGCGGGATATCAAGGAGGGGCACACTGGGGCAATTTCAGTCCAGCAGGCTGGAGCCAATCATGGAGCAGCACAACAGAGGAAATCAGGTGTCAGGCTAGAAAAAGGTGCAAGTGTGTGGTTCATTAGGCTGCAAGAAATCATGGAGGAGCACACTGAAGCGCACGCTTACAAACCACTGGTAAGTGCTGACTACAAGTCATGACTTCAAATTGTTATATAGAATGATTACAAATTATTTGTTGTTTGTGCAGCTTAGTCAAGAGTCCCTAATTGATGAAGTCGACTCAGATTCTGACGATTTAACTGTCAAGAAGAAACCTGTAAAAAAAGTATGGAAAAAGAAAAATCAAAAACACTTTTCTTCAAGACTCGGAAAGTGACGAACCAAAGGCAAATAAGATTGTTATCATGCAGCTGCAAAAGAAGAAAAATGGGGGGCGAGTATACAGCAAGAGACACTTCTGCCTCTACTGTTCAATGTCCTGCCACAAAATGTCCCGTCATTTGACTAGAAAACATGGAAATGAAAGTGACGTAGCCAGAGCATTGGCTCTACCTGTGAAATCTAAAGCACGTAAACTTCAGTTTGATTTGATCAGGAATAGTGGAAACCGTGAGCACAATTTTGAGGTTTTAAAGGCCGGCATTGGAACTTTAGTCCCAGCTAAACAGCCAAATTGCCCAGTTAAATCCAGTGAGTTTTTGCACTGTATAGACTGTGGGGCATTGCTTAAGCGAAAGTCGCTGTGGAGGCATGTGGCCAGGTGCCGGCTTTCACAGAAAGATGCCCAGGCTAAACCAGGTAGAAGTAGGGTCCAGTCCCTCTGCTCCCTAGCCCAGCCTGTACCGGAGGGCATCAGCAAAAAGCTGTGGTCTTTAATTTGGGCAATGCATCAGGATGAGGTCACGGGTGTTGTCAAAGCAGAAAAGGGGATTCTGAGACTCGGAGAGCACCTGTACTTAAAACACGGGCATGATAAGACAAAGCATGATTACATTAGGCAGAAAATGAGAGAAGTCGGTAGGTTAATTAACGAAGCAAAAACCGCAGGGAAACTGAAAACAATTAAGGATTTCTTTATTCCTTCCAACTTTAACCATGTGATTGATGCAGTCAGGTCTGTGGCTGGATATGATGAGGAAACAAATCAATACAATACAAGACTCCCATCCTTGGCCCTCAAACTCGGCCATAGCCTCAGAAAGCTAGCAGATATTCTTGAATGTGACTCAAAAATGGAGCATTGTGTTGATGAACTATTTATTAAAAACCTCCAACGAAGCCGGCTGCTTTTCCCAACTTGAGAAAAAGCTGTGTCAGCATTTTCAACGCATTGAAATTAAAGGGAAAAAGAAGTCGGAAAGTGCCGGTTCTTTTGACTCCTGAAATGATTGCTTCGATGGAGGTGCTGGTGGAGAACAGAAGGGCCTGTTCCATCTCTGACCATAACCCATACTTCTTTTCCCGCCCGGGCGCAGACACCCACATCAGGGGATCAGACTCCCTACGCCAGGTAGCCAAAGAATGTGGTGCGGTGCATCCAGAGATGCTATCCTCAACCAAACTTAGAAAGCACATAGCTACTATGTCTACAGTTCTCAATATGAAAGAGAATGAGATGGACATACTTGCCAACTTCCTCGGCCATGACATTCGCATCCACAGGCAATATTACAGACTACCAGAGGGGGACACTGGAGCTGGCCTGAAGGTAATTCTGATATTATTAAAATATGTATGATTTTTTTCCCCTAAAGGCCACTTGTATTTTTATTTTCTGTGCGACAGGGAGAGCAGTAGAGATCCTCTCACAAACGGACGGGCTAAAAGAAACTTCAAGCGGAGAACCTTCAACCATTCATCCAGATGCACCCCATGGTAGTGGCAGTGCCCCTTCTGGTAAGTGTACCAGGTGGGGGATTACAGCCAGGCTGCTTGGTCCTCACCCTGGGAGTGTATATTGCTAATATATTTTTATTTCTCTCCCTAGAACGTGTAAGAAAGCCATGGTCTGCATCTGAGGTGAAGGCTGTGGAGAAGACCATGACACCTTTCATACAGACTGGAAAGGTCCCTGGGAAGT